TTCCTTGTGACTTGAAGGGAACTTTGAATGTTTCTTTAGCAGCGAATGCTTCAACCATCATATCGCCATGGCAACCGTTCTTTGCATCACCAACAGTGAATGCAAAGGCATACACCTTCTTAGGGACTGTCCTAATGATTTGGGCAATGGCACTTTCTCTCCCTGCAAGTAGTTCAACTGCAGCTTGGCCAAACGGGACATTGAAATGAGCTGAATCCAAGAATTTCACTGCTTTGAGTGACTCAATGATCCAGCCTGGAAGTGGGGATGTCAAATCTTCCTGTTTGGGAGGGAGAAGGACTCCGTGCGAAGAGTTTATTAAGAGGTGAGGTCCTTCTTCAAAACCAGGATTTTTTACCAAATTCACTGCAGAACACCAAAGAGAAAAATCAAGAAAACAAAAATTTCACACACTTGCACCCAACAAAATACTTCATATACTGGATTAATGGTTATATATAAATGTATTATTTCACTAGACATAACAACAAAAACATGGAAGGCAGATGAATGACATGGAGAACATATATTAGTAAAACGAAACGTTCAACAGATTAAAAAGTTTATAACTTTGTATAGAATCCTATCCTATTCACAAGTTCAACAAGCAATATCAAAATATAGTAAACTTTAGAGAAACAATTCTTTTGAGATCATAACATAACATATAGTAAACTTTAGAGAAACAATTCTTTTTAGATCATTACATAACATATAGTAAACTTTAGAGAAACAATTGAAATATATCAATAAATCAACTATAACTCAATACTGAACTAGTAGGGTTAGCTACATGAGTCCTCTATATCCATTTCGCTTATTTGGCTCAACTCATTCCAAAGAAAGTTAAAATATGTAAGAACACATATCTATTTGATAGAACTTCTTCATATACCTTTTGAATTGGATTTTTTCTTTTTTTTGAATTGGCTTCTTCATATACCTTTGAAGTATTAGATGCACAAATAATACATCTTTAACATTACCTAATAAAATAATGACAATCAGTGAAAAGCCAGATAAAAGCATAAATAAAGCCCGAAAATATACCTCTGGTGGGCCGAGGAGGGAAGAGTTCTTTTATAGCAACAGCATCCAAGAGTGGACCACAAGCTGGATCCTCTTGAACTCCAGGATTATGAAAGGAAACTTTAACTACATTAGAAGTAGCATAGAAACCCCAAGCATAGGTATCACCGCCATTGCTGCTATAAAGGGTCTGCAATGGAAGGTCCCCGGTTTGAGGAGGTACCGACACCCTCAATACCTCATCTTGAGCACAGGTTCTTGATGCCCCAAATGTGAGTGCATACAAAGAGCCTTTCTTTACTGGAATTGTTTGAGAAATTGAGGCATCATTCCCTAGCCTCACGGCATGGATGCCGTGGGCGACTGGGAAGTACATCCCGCCGGGCTGTGGCCCGCCAGAAATGTACTCTACCAAGCCATTGATTTCCCATTTGGGCAAAGCATATTTGCCTACGAGTACTGTTTTTTTCTTGAGGTCTTTTGGCTTTGGTTGCTCTTCGAAATTCCCATTTGGAAGTAGTCCTGAAAATAGAATATTTCCTTCAATTCATAACTGTAATCCAACCATCCAAGAAAACGTTCTTTTACACAAAAACCTTGCTCTCCTAAGCGAAGATGCAACCTTTTCCCATAGGCGGATGCGATGTAGTTCTAACGAGCTCAACTCCCAATCTTTTTATGCCAGAGCATAATTATATATATATGTGTGAAAAATCACTAAAATTTCAACAAATTAAGTTATGAACTCATAATTGCAAAAGCATTATGAATCAGCGGTAATATAAATATTGAACCCATCAAATTTAAATATCTGAATCCGCACCATTTAAAAGGAAAAACCCCATCAAGCAAACAAGAGTGACATACTATATAAAGTACAGATCCTAACAAAATATTGTTTAACACTATATCGAGCACAGATTCAACCACTTCCCTTTTTAACCCTCCCTCACCCCACCAAAAGAAACAAGCACCTATAGCCAAAAACAAGAGCAGCTTATTTTTTATAAAACATAATAGTATGAATCCTAAGTAAATGTTCTTCGCAATGTGAACCTCCTCTTTATAGAGAGCTGAATAGCATTACAGAACCAAACATTCTTCAACACATAAAAAAAACATAAAAGCTTGCAAACATCACCTAGTGGAGTAGCTGGAAGGTAGGACTTCTTGGTAGGAGATAGTTCCAAGATTGCATTTTTATACGAAAATAAGTAACAACAACAACAGCCCAGTGAAATCCCACAACCGACCATATTAAGTAATGGGAAGTAAATTATAGCTTAAATTAGCATATTAAAAGATTAATGTTTGAGCTTTGTAGTACCTTCAAGAGGAGCTGGGCGAACGGCAGAGACAGTGGAGAGCAAGGAGAGAAGAAGCAAGATTGAAACCTTCACCACCATATTTGCAGAAAGAAGTACTCGTAGATGTAAGTAGAAAGAAGAAGGAAGGAAGAGGGTATATTTAAGGAATAAAGGACTAGTGTTCTTCACTTGTCCCTATGTTCCATTTATGTCACTGTCCGTCTTATTTCAAAATAATTTACCTTTCTGTAATTGAAAATTTTTAACTTCAAAATTTTCGTTTTATTATCACAAGTCTTAAAGTAATTTTTTTGATGTGTGTTGAAAAAAATTTCTTCTAAATTTTATATTAAATAACATCATATAAGATGGATTGAGGTATATAATAGTACCATCCAAAGGATGAACAAAGATATAAAGGGTTGTGGGGCAGAGACAAAGGCACAGGCTGATTCAGATGGATTACTATAGGGATTTCAAATTATTATAATGGAATAATAAATAAATAAATACGTATTTAATAGTATATTTTTTTAGTATGTATACGTAAACATATTAACCAACATAGTGATCCGCCCCTGGAATCCGGATTGGATGGGGTGGGGGTGGGGGTGGGGGTGGCAATAGACAGAGAAATGAGGGAGCCATTCAAGGCACTGATAATTTTGACCGAATGTCTAAAGACTGGTCCCTCTGCTTTAGAAATTTTGAACACTTTATCTCCGTAATCCATGCAATTAAACATAAACTAATGAGATTTTGCATTATTCTATTTCTTTGAGCGCGGGAGTTGAATCAAATCTGACAAACTAATTCTTTAATACTCACAGTGGACTACTTTTTCGCATGCAATTGGCAAGAAAAATTTATTTTTAGTTAACAGAAAAGATTAGGTCTGTCAACAGAAGGTCATCCAAAAGCTCCTACGTTTAGATCTAGTGGATAATACGTTGTTTCTACTCATTGTACGTCAATCATTGTGCTTTGGGGTCGTTAGGTATAACAAGGTATAAGAGTAGTATAAAAATTTAATACTATCTTAATATTCTGTTTGGTTAGCAAATCAGGTATAAGTTATCCCGATATTAATTTTAATATTGGGATAACTTATACCTTATAAAAGGTTGGTAATTAGCACCAGTATAACTTATACCTTCTTTTTAGAAATTATGCAATTGTCATTCTTAATACAACATACCCAACAATGAATAAATAACAATCCCAGCATAATTAATCTCAGCATAACTTATCCCAATATAACTTATACCGGCATAACTTATATCGGTATAAATCGTATTCCAACCAAACGACCCATAAGTATTACAACACCAATAACAAACCCAGTGCATTCTTACAATTAGAGTTTGGGAAGATATTACTCATGAAAGATAATAAAAAAAGGCCAATGACAAATAAACTAACCAGAAAACCAAACGAAAACACATAACTAAGACTAGACAGTGCAATTAGAAAAACAAAGCGAAGGCAACAAGAAGTTATAACAGAAATCTAAAAAGACGAAAATACACGAAAGATACTAAGTGATGTACTAAAGTTACTATAACAAACAAAGACAAAGCTCAACTACCTAATCCTCCACCCTAATTCTAGACATTTATATCTTCCTATCTATGGTCATGTCTTCAGTAAAAAATAAGACATATCTTGCATAATCACCTCTCCCAATACTTCTTCGGCCTACTACCTCTCCGTTGGCCCTCCAAGGCCAACCTCTCACACCTCCTCACTGGTGCATCTCTTCTTCACATGTCGGAACCATCTTAGTCTCACCTCCGCGTCTTATCCTCCATAGACGTCACACCCAATTTGTCGCGGATAACTTCATTTCTAATTCTGTCTAACTTGGCATGCCGCACATTGATCGCAGCCTACTCCGCACTACTAAAAAGTAGGAAGAGAAGGTCGCAATAGCTTTTACCCGATTTGTGGGTCGGGATCGATTTTCACAGGGAGCTAGAAATGGAGTCGAATATCTATTTAGATTGGGATTGTGTAATTGTTCCAAATATCACTTCCAATCATTTTTGTTTTTTCTTTAACAAACTACTATTATCAACTACTAATTATAAATGCAACTAGATTATGCTAAACGAGAATTGCTAAAAGTTGTATCTAATGGATAAAAAGGCACTAGGGTAGTGTCATCCTCCTAGGTGGCCAATTGACGTGTAATTGCTTCTAATGCATGATTGACATGATTGGGGAAATATGCTATAACCGCTGCACGATTTTACCCACTCTTACACCTCTCGGCAGAGAGAGTGATTTTGCCCAATTGACTCTCTCAAGACCAAATGGGTAGGCAATCTTGCTCAAGCAACTAGGGTTCAAGTCGGGTAATTACTCTCTCGAGGTTTAACCCTTTAATTGGGACTATCAATTCTCTTGAGTCCATCCCAATTCCTTGTTGGGTCAATTTTGGAGACTTAGGCTCTCTTTCTCAAGAAGAGCCAAGTCAACTTAGCACAAACCAGTNTCACAACACCCATCAATTACCCACACTAGAGTTGAGCCACAACCCTAACTAATGGGTTTAGCTACTCATGTTTGAAGAGAAAAACAGAGAAATAGATGAAGATAAAGACATATTAATTAATTGCTGATGTAGATACAAAGATTCAATGATAAAAACTACGTAAAAATGCCCAAAATGGCTACAGATGGTCTTCTCACGAGCGCAGCTCTGTTCAGAAAATAACTGATGACCTAAAAATGGACAAAGATTCTATTTATACTAAGCTGGAAAAATTGGACAAAAATGCCCCTCCGGGGTTAGTGCGGACCACACAAAATGGACTGCGGCAGCACTAGGCTCTTGGCTCTTCAATTTCATCTCTTTGAACTCAGGCTCCGCGGACCGTGCAAAATGGACCACGGCCGCAGAGTCTTCTAATGCGGTCCGCACAAACATGACCGCAGACCGCGCAGCTTGAGCCTTGGCAATTTTCATCTCTCTAATCTTCGCCTCTGCGGACTGCATATAATGGTAGTGCGGCCGCGGAACCTTCAGTGCAGACCGCACAAATTCCACTGCAGCTGCACTGTTTTAACACTTGATTTTCCAGTTCTCTGAATCTCCCTAGTGTGGACCGCACAAAGTGTAGTGCGGCCGCACTAGGCCTGTTTGTCCTGAGTTTGCCTTGTCTTTGGTACTTGTGCAGGTTTCACTCCTTTTGAGCAGGTCTTTGACATCTTGTCACTTTGTCGATCAAACCTGCAATCAAGCACAACTTATGAGCCTTTTGGGACTATTTTGTAACAATTTATAATCAAAGCGTAAGCAAGAAAGAGCATGAAACACGTTAAAATCCCTAGTTATCAACTCCCCCAAACTTAATCTTTTGCTTGTCCTCAAGCAAACAAAATAAGACTCACCCCTAAAGGGAAAATCCAAGAATTTTCAGCTATCCTAAAGTAACCTCAACAAGCATAAATTGGGACTAATAATTTCCCTCAATACGAATGAATCATTAACAACCTTTAACCTTTGAAAAAAAAACATGGATCAAGTATGACATAAGAGCATCAAGAGTTGACTCATTACATCAAAGAACTCTCTCAATTACTTTGGTCATTGTGGAACCCAAACTCACACATCCTCAACTCTCCTTAAGCAAACCTCATCTTTTAGAATATTGTCACACAAACCGAGGTTAATGGAAATTTATTCATCTCTCTCAAGAAAAGGTCACAAGTCTGGCTCTAAGTATCATATACTTGCCCCTTATGTAAGTATCCACTAATGTAAGCTTCATTCAACTAAAGATCATATAGGGCTTTTGTGGACTCATTGTGAAGGCTTTTGGTTCAGGGTAAGAAATGTTTTGATCTAAGTGGGTTCCATCTTCCCTTAAGCACTTCTTTTGATTTATTTGGCACACATTCTCTTGACTCTTTGAGTCATCTCACTTCTTTCTAAAGGGCTAGAGAGACACATTGTCACTCTTTCTTGTGCAATTCAAACCTCTTCTCCTTTTTCAAATTTCCACACCTTTCTTTCTTTTGCTTTTCTTGAATCCCTTTTTATTCTTTTTCACATTGAGCATTCTCTTTTTTTTTCTTTTGCTTTTCTTTCTTTTTCATTGCCTTTCATTTTCTTCATTTTTTTGCCTTTTACCACTTTGTTGTCATTCCTCGTCTCTCCCCCCAAACTTATACTTTTGCCATGTGCTCAAGGAAAGATCGGGTGCCAAGAGAGGGTATATTTTAGAACGGGTATAAGCTTGTGTCATAGTTCTTGAAAGAAACAGGTCTAAGACTCAAAAGGGTTAATTAGGGATCATATCATTGGTAAGCTATGGAATTTTTCAAACTATCATTTGGATCAAGGAGAGCCTATAATCACGTCTCAAGTCAAAATTCACTTAGTATTTCGCCTCAACAAACATTCAGGGCAAGTTCTAGACCAATGACTCGGGACTTGGATTTGCAATTCAATTACTCACCACACAAGCTAAAGGATCGCTAAAGATATAGAGCCGGGGCCCACAATGACCTTAGATACGATTTGACCACACAATGGTCCCGAAAAACCACTTGACGATTATCGGTCAACACAAGAGTCTCAAGGTCACGACTTTCACCATCCTAAACACAATATTTTGTCTTTGACCATGGGATCAAAGGCAAATGTGTTAGGCCCAAGTGAAGCTTTGCTTGAGGTATCATTAACTATAAACTACTAAAAACAAAAAACAAAAACGGACTCAAACCCTTAAGAAGGTTGTCACGCCATTCATCATTGGGAAGAGCCGCCCGGTTCACACAATACTCCACATTTGGAAAGAACCGTGGCATTAAGAAAACCAAAGGCTTATTAAAAACGTCCAAAACAAAACAAAAGCTACGAACATAAATAAGAAGCTAAAAACGAGAATTTTTTGCGGAAAATAGAATGAATATATACAATAGGGAGTTTGAATATACAATGGGGGAATATATACAATGATGTAACTTTATATATAGACCCAAAGAAAGATGAAAAATGCGATAAAAGTAACTAACTATCAAATTATATAAAGACCAAATGTGAAAATCAAGAAAGCATAAAATGAATCAATATATACAGTCATCCAAAAATGTAGGGCGCACCCCTCAAATAAAAGTTGGCATTGTCCCAATGCGAACTAGTCCAAATAAGCATAAAAAGGAATAGAAAAAGGATATGAGGACTCCCTAAGCCCTGTCGGTCTGCATATGATCATGGATGGTCCCTGGGTCCTCTATGTGCTCGGGAACCTCAGACTGGTTCTCGGTGTCCTGCTGCTCAGCTGATGGGACCTGGGCC